CCAAAAATTTGAGCCAGAAACCCAAAAAATTCACAAAAATTCCCAAAAAATGGAGCAAAAAACACCCAAAATTCCCCAAAAACGGAGCAAAAAACACCAAAAATTCCCAAAAATTCCCCAAAACTGGATCCAGAATTCCCAAATTCCCCATTGGGCTCCAGGGAATCCCAGAATTGCTCCGGAGGCTCCAGAGAGCCTGGGGGAGCCTCCTGGAGATCGGCTGCAAAGGGAAATTCCAGGGGTTATTCCCAAAAAAATCCCCGGCACGAAATTCCTAAAAATTCCTGAGAAATTCCCGAAAAAGCGGAGCCAGAAACAGCGAAAATCCCCAAAAAACGGAGCCAGAAACCCAAAAATTCCCCAAAATTCGCCAAAAATTCGCCAAAAATTCCTCGGATATTCCCCAAAAATTCCCCGAAAATTCCCCAAAAATTCCCCAAAAATTGGAGTCAGAAACCCCAAAATTCCCAAAAAATCCCAAAAAATGGATCCAAGAACCCCAAAATCCACCAAAAATTTGAGCCAGAAACCCAAAAAATTCCCAAAAATCCACAAAAAAACGGAGCAGAAAACCCCCAAAATTCCCAAAAATCCCCCAAAAATGGATCCCAAAACCCCAAAAATTGGAGTCAGAAACCCCAAAAGTTCCCAAAAAACGGAGTCAGAAACCCCAAAATTCCCAAAAAATGGAGCAAGAAACCCCAAAATTCCTAAAAATTTGAGCCAGAAACCCCAAAATTCCCAAAAATCCACAAAAAACGGAGCCAGAAACCCAAAAATTCCCCAAAATTCGCCAAAAATTCGCCAAAAATTCCTCGGATATTCCCCAAAAATTCCCAAAAATTCCCCGAAAATTCCCCGAAAATTCCCCAAAAATTGGAGTCAGAAACCCCAAAATTCCCAAAAAATCCCAAAAAATGGATCCAAGAACCCCAAAATCCACCAAAAATTTGAGCCAGAAACCCAAAAAATTCACAAAAATTCCCAAAAAATGGAGCAAAAAACACCCAAAATTCCCAAAAATTCCCCAAAACTGGATCCAGAATTCCCAAATTCCCCATTGGGCTCCAGGGAATCCCAGAATTCCCAAAAATTCCCAAAAAACGGAGCCAGAAACCCCCAAAATTCCCAGGAATTCCTGAGAAATTCCCAAAAAAATCCCCCCAAAAATGGGAATTTTGATGCGGAAATTCGGATTTTTTTCTCCGGATTCCGTGGGATTTTGGGGGTTGGGAAGGTGGGAAATGAGAGGAGATTCCAGGGGTTATTCCCAAAAAAATCCCCATCCCGAAATTCCCAGGAATTCCTGAGGAATTCCTGAAAAAACGGAGCCAGAAACAGCGAAAATCCCCAAAAAATGGAGCCAGAAACTCCCAAAATTCACAAAAATCCCCCAAAAATGGATCCAAGAACCCCAAAATTCCCCAAAAATGGAGCCAGAAACCTCAAAATTCCCAAAAATTGGAGTCAGAAACCCCAAAATTCCCAAAATCCTCAAAAAACGAAGCAAAAAACCCCCAAAATTCCCAAAAATCCACAAAAAATGGAGCCAGAAACCCAAAAATTTCCCAAAAATTCCCCAAAAATGGATCCAGAATTCCCAAATTCCCCATTGGGCTCCAGGCAATCCCAGAATTGCTCCGGAGGCTCCGGAGAGCCCGGGGGAGCCTCCTGGAGATCGGCTGCAAAGGGACATTCCAGGGGTTATTCCCAAAAAAATCCCCGGCACAAAATTCCTAAAAATTCCTGAGAAATTCCCGAAAAAGCGGAGGCAGAAACAGCGAAAATCCCCAAAAAACGGAGCCAGAAACCCCCAAAATTCACAAAATTGGAGCCAGAAACCCCCAAAATTCCCAAAAAACAAAGCCAGAAACCCCAAAATTCCCCAAAAATGGATCCAGAAACCCCAAAATTCCCAAAAATCCACAAAAAAGGAGCAAAAAACCCCCAAAATTCACAAAAATCCCCCAAAAATGGATCCCAAAACCCCAAAAATTGGAGCCAGAAACCCCAAAATTCCCCAAAAATGGAACCAGAAACCCCAAAATTCCCAAAAATTGGAGTCAGAAACCCCAAAAATTCCCAAAAATCCACAAAAAATGGAGCAAAAAACACCCAAAAAATCCCAAAAATCCACAAAAATGGAGCCAGAAACCCCAAAAATTCCCAAAAAATGGATCCAAGAACCCAAAAATTCCCAAAAAACGGAGCCAGAAACCCCAAAATTCACAAAAATCCACAAGAAACGGAGCAAAAACCACCCAAAAAATCCCAAAAAATCCCCCAAAAATGGATCCCAAAACCCCAAAAATCCCCCAAAAATTGGAGCCAAAAACCCCAAATTCCCCCATTGGGCTCCAGGGAATCCCAGAATTCCTGGAGATCGGCTGCAAAGGGAGGATCCAGGGCTTATTCCCAAAAAAATCCCCGTCCCGGAATTCCTAAAAATTCCCGAGAAATTCCTGAAAAAATCCCCCCAAAAAACGGAGCCAGAAACCCCCAAAATTACCCAAAAATTGGAGCCAAAAACGCCCAAAATTCACAAAATTGGAACCAGAAACCCCAAAATTCCCAAAAAACGGAGCCAGAAACCCAAAAATTCCCCAAAAATTCCCCAAAAAATGGATCCAAGAACCCAAAAAATCCCAAAAAATGGAGCCAGAAACCCCCAAAAATGGAGCCAGAAACCCCAAAAATTTCCAAAAATCCACAAAAAATGGAGCAAAAAACACCCAAAGTTCCCAAAAATCTCCCAAAAATGGATCCCAAAACCCCAAAAATTCCCAAAAATGGAGCCAGAAACCCCAAAATTCCCAAAAATTGGAGCCAGAAACCCAAAAATTCCCCAAAAATGGATCCCAAAACACCAAAATCCCCCAAAAATTTGAGCCAGAAACCCAAAAAATTCACAAAAATCCACAAAAAACGGAGCAAAAAACACCCAAAATTCCCAAAAATCCACAAAAAATGGATCCAAGAACCCCAAAATTCCCAAAAAATGGATCCCAAAACCCCAAAATTCCCAAAAAACGGAGCCAGAAACCCCAAAATTCCCAAAAATCCACAAAAAATGGAGCAATAAACACCCAAAATTCCCAAAAATTCCCCAAAAATGGATCCCCAAACCCCAAAAATTCCCAAAAAACGGAGCCAGAAACCCCAAAATTCCCAAGAAATTGATCCAAAACCCCAAAATTCCAAAAAAATTCCCCCAAAATTCCCAAAAATTCCCCAAAAATTCCTCAAAAATTCCCAAAAAATTCCTCAAAAATTCCTCAAAAATTCCCAAAAAATTCCCGAAAAATTCCCAAAATTCCCCCAAAATTCCCCCAAAATTCCCCAAAAATTCCCGAAAAATTCCAAAAAAAATCCCAAAAATTCCCGAAAAATTCCCAAAAAATTCCCGAAAAATTCCAAAAAAATTCCCCCAAAATTCCCAAAAATTCCCCAAAAATTCCTCAAAAATTTCCAAAAAATTCCTCGAAAATTCCCAAAAATTCCCCAAAAATTCCCAAAAAATTCCCAAAAAATTCCCAAAAAAATCCCCAAAAATTCCCAAAAATTCCCCAAAAATTCCCCAAAATTCCTGAAAAATTCCAAAAAAATTCCCAAAAAATTCCTCAAAAATTCCCAAAAAATTCCTCAAAAATTCCCAAAAAATTCCTCAAAAATTCCCGAAAAATTCCCAAAAAATTCCCGAAAAATTCCAAAAAAATTCCCCCAAAATTCCCCGAAAATTCCCAAAAAATCCCCGAAAACTCCCCAAAAATTCCCAAAAATCCTCAAAAATCCTCAAAAAAATCCCCAAAAATTCCCAAAAAAACTCTCAAAAATCCCCAAAAAATTCCCAAAAAATTTCCAAAAATTCCTGAAAATTCCCAAAATTCCCCAGAATTCCCGAATTTCCCCGGAATTCCCGGAATTCCCGGATTCCCTCACCGATGTACTCGTCCACCTGGATCAATCCGTCCCCGTTCCGATCCAGATCCTCGATCGTCTCCTGGGAAGGGCAAAAATTCCCAAAATTCCTCCCCAAAATTCCCAAAATTCATCCCAAAAAATTCCCCAAATTGCTCCCAAAAATTCCCAAAATTCCTCCCAAAAATTCCCAAAATTCATCCAAAAAAATTCCCAAAAATTCCCAAAAATTCCTCAAAAAAATTCCCAAAATTCCTCCCAAAATTTCCCAAAATTCATCCCAAAAATTCCCAAAAATTCCCAAAATTCATCCCAAAAATTCCCAAAATTCCTCCCAAAAATTCCCAAAATTCCTCCCAAAAATTCCCAGAATTCATCCCAAAAACTCCCAAAATTCATCCCAAAAATTCCCAAAAATTCCCAAAATTCCTCCCAAAAATTCCCAAAATTCATCCCAAAAAATTCCCAAAAAATTCCCAAAATTCATCCCAAAAATTCCCAAAATTCCTCCCAAAAATTCCCAAAAATTCCCAAAATTCATCCCAAAAAATTCCCAAAAATTCCCAAAATTCCTCCCAAAAATTCCCGAAATTCATCCCAAAAAATCCCCAAAAATCCCAATTTTGGCCCATTTTGAGCCAGATTTTCGCCGTTTTGAGCGGGATTTTTTTGGGAATTTTGGGAATTCTGGGAATTTTGGGAATTCTGGGAATTTTGGGAATTCCGGGAATGCCTGACCTGAGCCACGAGCTCCAGGAGGACTCCAAGTCCCCAAAATCCCCCCAAAATCCCACAAAAAACCCCCAAAAATCCCAATTTTGACCCATTTTGAGCCAAATTTTCGCCGTTTCCAGCGGGATTTTTTTGGGAATTCCGGGAATTCTGGGAATTCTGGGAATGCCTGACCTGAGCCACGAGCTCCAGGAGGGCTCCAAGTCCCAAAAATGCCCCAAAATCCCCCAAAAATCCCAATTTTGGCCCATTTTGAGCCGGATTTTCGCCGTTTCCAGCGGGATTTTTTTGGGAATTTTGGGAATTTTGGGAATTCTGGGAATTCTGGGAATGCCTGACCTGAGCCACGAACTCCAGGCCTCCAAAAATCCCAAAAATCCCCCAAAAATCCCAATTTTGGCCCATTTTGAGCCAGATTTTCGCCGTTTTGAGCGGGATTTTTTTGGGAATTTTGGGAATTTTGGGAATTCCGGGAATTTTGGGAATTCTGGGAATGCCTGACCTGAGCCACGAGGTGCAGAAGGGCTCCAAGACCCAAAAAACCCCCAAAAATCCCAATTTTGGCCCATTTTGAGCCGGATTTTCTCCGTTTCCAGCGGGATTTTTTTGGGAATTTTGGGAATTTTGGGAATTCCGGGAATTCTGGGAATTCTGACCTGAGCCACGAGGTGCAGGAGGGCTCCAAGTCCCCAAAAAATCCCCCAAAAATCCCAATTTTGGCCCATTTTGAGCCGGATTTTCACCGTTTCGAGCGGGAATTTTTTGGGAATTCTGGGAATTCTGGGAATTCTGGGAATGTCTGAGCCTCATCCAGAGCTCCTAAAACCCCCAAAATTCCACAAAAACACCCCAAAAATCCCAATTTTGGCCCATTTTGAGCCGGATTTTTGCCGTTTTGAGCGGGATTTTTTTGGGAATTCCAGGAATTTTGGGAATTCTGGGAATTCTGGGAATTCTGACCTGAGCCACGAGGTGCAGGCCTCCCAAAAAAATCCCCAAAAATCCCAATTTTGGCCCATTTTGAGCCGGATTTTCGCCGTTTCCAGCGGGATTTTTTGGGAATTTTGGGAATTTTGGGGAATTCCGGGAATTCTGGGAATTCCGGGAATTCTGACCTGAGCCACGAGGGGCAGGAGGTGCGGGAAATCCTCGGGATGCAGGAAAGCCTGGAGCTCCTCCCCGCGCAGGCGCCGGTCGCCGTCGGCGTCGGCCGCCTGGAAACGGAGCCGGGATCGGAGCAGGAGGCGCCGCTGGGAGCCCCCAAAATCCTCTGGA